CAAAGCCCCAGTAGATAGTTGTATGTCATAGCTGCACATCCTTCTAGTTGCTGTATGTGGGACTCGGCCTCAGGATGGACGGAGAAGTGGTGCCTCGGTGCGCGCCCGGGATCTGAACCCAGGCCACCAGCATCGGAGCGCGCGCACTCAACCACCAAGCCACGGGGCCGGCCCAGCAATTATCTTCTTAAAACATATATCACACCAGACCCTTGCTGAGAACTCGTTAATTGCTTCCTACTACACTTAGGATATCTAAAATCCTTAATAAGGCCAAGTAAGGCATACATGATGGCCACCTCTCCCCTAGGAGAGGCGGCCGTCCAGGTCATCAAGTGTTCTTTTCTTTCCCACCCCAGGGGAAAGACTCCACTAGTCTTTACACAGCTACCTCCAATTTATTATTCATGTTTTGTCCCTTCTCAAAAAGCTTTCCCTGAATGAATTAAATTAGATACCTTCCTAGACTTTCTCACAGAACACTGCATTTCTCCTTCATAGCACTGAACACAATTTGTAACTACACATTCATTTGTGAAATCACTGTTTAATAACTATTTCTCCTACTAAACTAACATTCCTGTCAGACTTGGGTCTGTTTCGCTCACTCCTGTATCCTCTGCCCCTCACAGAATGGCACGGTAAGCTGAAGAAGTGTTTCTGCGTGGCATTTCCATTATTAATACTGCATTTAATCCTCACAGCAATCTTTTTTTGAAAACTAGAAAACATCACAACATTCTTTTAAAGATTGTGTACATTTTTCTTTGTCCCATTTCTTGCAATTATATATTTTTTTCAAAACAAAAACTGCTTTTCTGATTAAAAAAGAAAAATGCTTACCCTAAAGGGAAAAAAGCAACCACAATTCCAAAGAAATAATCATCTTCAACATTTTGGTGCATAAACACACTCAGAAACTGGTATCATATACAGTTTTTTGTATGTAACCTGTTTTATTTGCTCTGTCTACCCACCTAATATATTGCGGGCATCTTTCCACGCCCAAAGTCATTCATTTGTTAAACTATTTACCGAGCGTTTTTTACACGTTGGTCACGTTATACATAATCATGCCTTGTGGTTGCATCTATTCCATCTTATGGCTCACCTACCACTTATAAGGCAGCGTCTACCATCCTCCACTCCACCCAAGTTCCCCACCCCCAGGAAACCTGACATCAAGGAGATCTCTTCTGTAATCTTCCTACCTTGGTGACCCATTCCGTGTGCCCGGTGAGTGTGTTCAGGCATGTCCCAGCAGATAAAGCCCATACTTTCACAGTGAAGTCTGCAGAGCCACTCACCAAGATATCCAGTTCATCATTGTAATCGACGCTAAACACTAGTACATATAACATACACAAAGTTAAAACGTGCCTGTCTGAGGGTCTTTATATAATAGAGTTCAATAACATTTCTTCTCCCTAGCTGTCCAACTGTATAATTTCTCAACCAGAGCTACTATAAGGATGGTGCTACTCAACTACCAATTTTATAATAAGAAATATAGCCATTTCAAAATTCTTATTATTATAGTTTATTATTCTAAGGATGGAAAGTGTCTAGAATAATACAATCTCTTATACATGTGCTAGCTGCAAAGTGAGAGGCAAAACCAGTGTTGGAGATAATGGCCTTTCTTCTCAGGACTGCCAGCCTGATACTACACAAAACTTATCTAGCTTATGCAAGGAAAACAGAATACCGGTGGCCCTACTCAGATTTGCACCATTTACTGCAGTGAGACAAAATGTCAAGAATATAAGCTGCAAAATAACACCCATATTCAAGAAAAGCCAGTGTAATGAGAAAAACAAAACACAAACAAGGATCTCAAAGGTCAGACTAAGCCATTCTCTCAAAACGGTCTGAATTTCTTCACAGCTGTACCCCCAGCACCTAAAACAGTGCCTGAGTATAGCAAATACTCAAGTATTTGTTTTCAAATGTCTGCCAAGCTCTAAAGGAACACTGGGAACCCAGAGATGAAGACATTGGTCTTTTCTTTAAGGAAGTCAGTCTAAGTGAGGGGTGGAGGAGGAAGTCCAAAAAAAATAAATGTTTACCTCTTGCTAGGGAAACACCAAGGAGAATGACTAACTCTGCCCAGGGATATCAGGGAGGACTTCAGGGAAGAGGCGATATTGGAGATGGGCCCTGAAGGATGAGTAGAGTTTATCAAGAAAAGAAAGAGAATACTGAAGGTAGAGGGAACAGCAAAGGCATGGAGTTAGGAAAAGCCACAGCAATGTCCAGGGAACAGCAAGGAGGAAGTTTTTTAGAGCAGGGCTCTCAAAGTTGATCAGGTATAAAATCACCTGGAAGTCAATGTACTTCTTGACACTGTGGAATAGTACACTCAGTTTAATATACAAGTTCCATGCTAATGTAGTTAGCTAATACATGCTAATGTATCTTCAAATATTGATTTCTACAACAAACCAGTGGCAACATAGCAGACTGAGGAAAAATGTAGAAGATGACAAACAAAATGGGAAAAAAAAATTATTTTTAGTAATCAAACAGCTAGGTTTACTTCAAAGAATTACTGAGTAACAGGTACGGTGCAAGGAACTCAGGTCCTGAGGGTGAACAAGACAGGCAGGCTCCCTGTCCTTTGGAGCTCAGAAATGCAGGTTATTGGGAAACCTACAGCAGAGGGACTCAACCTGCTTAGGGAGCCCAGGAAGGCCGCTCATAAAACATGATGCTTCAGAGTACAGACTAGGACTCTCTGGGGCTAATGCAGTGGGTAATGGGGGAAAGGAAGAAGGGAGCTGCTGCGCAACAGGCTGGGAAACAGCTCAACATGATTTCTGCACAAAGTCCCAAAGTACAATGCAGCAGAGGGAGAGCTCAGGGCTCAAGGCCATGTTAAAATGACCAGTTTTTGTAAACCAAGGCTGCTGTAAAATTATTAGGAAATACTCAGGATCTGTTTCTTCCATTTTACCTCTAGGCAGTAGCTTGTTTTAATCAACTGTCAACCAAGCTCCAATTTGATATATGTGTAGATCACACAATCTGGAAACCAATGTCACTCCAAAGGATTTTCAGCCTTAATGCTACAAATAAAGTAGACTGAATTTACAAGTGTAGGACTTACTCAATTTGGAAGTATGGAATCTGATAAAAGCAAAGGGGACTGACTGTGCAACAGCATATAAATGAAACAGGAGAGAACTGCCCCCTCCCAGCATAAGGGTATATAGAAGAGTTTTTAAATGGGCCAAGGAAAAGCGAAATTAGGGGGAAAATCCCAAATAAGAACAACTTGAATAAAGGGATTAACTGCTGTGACTGAAAAAGAATAGGTGGGAAAGGCAGGTTAAATTAAAAAATAAAACAAAAAAGGATCACATTCTTGACTCCTGGCTTCAAGGCAAGAAGTTAAAGTAACCGTAGCAATCCTTGAAAAAGGGCAACCCACCCGCCCCTGTGTGCCCCCGGAAGTGCTGGGTCCTGCTTCCAGAACTCCATTCCCAGCAGGCCACAGTGTTGTCAAAGGAGCCTGTCACAAGCTTCTGCTCATCAAACTTCACGGCCGCACAAGTGTGGGTCTGGATGCCATAAACGCACTGCCCTGTGCTCACATCCCACAGTTTTGCAGACAAGTCATCTGACCCTTCAAGAGAAAAACAGGGAGGTTAGTAGGAAAACAAATACTAGTGAAGGAAAATCAATCCCAAAACCATAGTATTCTTAAAAAAGAACCTTTATGGTCACTCTTCTCACACCCTCACTTTATAGCTGAGAAAACCAAAGCATGGAGAGGGTAACACAATTTGCTTAGGGTCACCAAAATGGTGTTAACAGCACAGGGACTGAATGCAAGCTTCCTGGTTTAGTCCTTTTCCCTTACCTTTCCAGGCTACAGAGGAGTCTTAGCCTGAAGCATCCCTTGGGGCTTCCACTTGTAAAATTTCATAAATCTTTGACTCGCATGAGCTCTCTGATTTGAGCTCCAAATGATGGGTATTACTATGACTGCATGTGTACACTTGCATGCCTGCCCATTACCCAACAACCCTGAACAAATAAAGAATGTTGAATAGTAAAGCTCTCTGCCAGAACATGTTCTACTCTAAGGCAAGACAAAGATAAGCTTCAGATCACGAGTTAACTTCTACAGAGGCTAACTGCAATTTCTTGAGCCACGTTGAAATGTGTAAAGGAACCCCTAAGAAAACTAGGGATGAATTATTCCCGGACAGTCACAACAACTCAACAATGAGCTTGTACAAGTCTCTTCAGATTCTGTAGAAAAAAGTAGATTTTATTTCTGCCTCTGATAAAAATGTTATAATGATCATGGTGACAATTCAGGACTTTGCTTTAATTACGTTTAAAATCCTAACGATTAACTCACATCTCATACCTTTAGAATAGAAAAGTAATAATAAGAATTCACAAAGACATTTTGAGGACATAATAAACACAGTCACTATGACAAGAACAAGTGACCAGTTTTCAAAAAGCTGAAATGACTAAATAAAGCCAGCCACAATTCTACCTTTAAGGGTTGGTCAAGAGCCACTGCTTCAGACAATGGAAAAACAGCGATCACTTCTGGAAGAGGTAGAGCATGAATTTCAACCTGGGCAAATCCTATGAGAACATATTGAAATGAAGACTGTTTTCACTTTACTATTTAGGGACTCAGTTCCTCTCTACAAAATGAGAGTTGGGACTGGTTGGCAGTTCTCAACAGGCATATGAGACATCGGAATCATCTGGGGAACTTTATCAAAAGATATACGCAGGGCAAGCCCCGGCAGCCTAGTGATCAAGTTCAGTGCGCTCCGCTTCGGCAGCCCGGGTTCAGTTCCCAGGCGCAGAGCTATGTAACTTTTCTGCCAGTGGCCATGCTGTGGCGGCAGCTCACATACGAAAAGAGGAAGATTGACAAAAGATGTTAGCTCAGGGAGAATCTTCCTCAGCAAAAAAAAAAAAAAAAAAAAAAGGGCCCTACCTTCAGAGGTTCTAATTTACATTCTCTGAGGTGGGGTCCAATAATCTTAAAAGATTGCCCGGTGATTCTAATGCATCAGCAATACTTTTGAGAGCCAATGATGTAGAACAGTGTTGTCCGACAGAAATGTAATGTAAGCCACATACATAATTTAAAATTTTCTAGTAGTTACTTTAAAAGGTAAAGAAAATAAGAAAATAATATAGTTTAATTCAACACGTCAAAAATTTACCATTTCAATATGTAATCAACATAAAAATATATTAATGAAATAGTTTATCTTCTAAGTCTTTGAAATCCAGTGAGTAGTTCACATTTCACATCTCACTTTGGACTAGCCACATCTGAAGTGCTCAAAAGCCATATGTGGCTAGTGGCTACTATACTGGGCAGTGCGGGTCTAGATAATCTTTAAGCTTGAGCATTTGTGACTGTATCTCTAGGGAGCTAACGCAGGAAAAAAAATCATTTTAGGTCCTATCTGAGCTCGGTTCTGATTTATTGCCAGTGTTCAACTGGGGTCTCATTCATTCATTCATTCAACCTTTATTTAAATTTCTGTGTCAGGCAGGGCTCCTGCTCACATGGCACTTAGTCTACTTGGGAAGACAAAAAGGCTAAACAAGCAGATATAATTCAGTATAGTAAGTGGCGGGCAGTACAAAAGCCCACAACAAATGCAAGGAGGGGATGAAAGGAGAAAATGCCTCAGATGAAACTTGACTGGTTCACACTTGTGCTCCCCAATATCTAGATGTCCCACAAATATGCTTTAGGAGATGGTGTAATTGGCTCCTCAATTATACCCTTATTTGTTTTTAAGCTGGGCTTTGGCTTAGGATTATTTGAAGAAGGGATTTCATGGCTTAAAAAAACTTTCAAGTTTTAACTAGCTGAAACCTAAAGGTTTAGTTAACCGACCCTCCCAAAGGAACAGTATATGCCAAAGGTCAGCCAAACTTTTTCAGTAAAAGATCAGATAGCAAATATTTTAGGCTTTTTAAGCCATACATATCTGTTGGAATTACTCTACACTGCTGGATTTGGCCCTGAGTTCGTGGTTTGCCAATCCCTGGTACATACCTATTAAATATCTCTCCATACTACATAAATATACGTGAACAGATACTGGGGTCAATTCATAAAGAACTACTTGGTACCATTCTAAAAACTGTCTAGGAATTATTTACAATAGTTGTCAAAATGCACTGTCTAAAACATGGACACTGATATAAAAGCAGTTCAGTATGACTGGGAAATAGTGACAAGGTCAGGCTGGAGAGCTGGCTCAGGAAGACGTTTATGACCATTTTTGCATTTCTGAAAGATCACTATGGCTGCATCATGGAGAATGGTTTGAAGTGGGGCAAAACTGGAGGCTGGAAGGCTAGTTAAAAACTAGAAGAGAAGATAAAATGTGGTATATACATACAACGGAACAGTATTCAGCCTTAAAAAGGAAGGAAATTCTGACATATGCTACGACATGGAGGAAACTTGAAAACATTACGCTAAGTGAAATAAGAAATAAGTCAGTCACAAAAGGACAAATACTGTAGGATTCCACCCATATGAGGTACATAAAGTAGTCAAATTCAGAGACAGAAAGTAGAATGGTAGTTGCCAGGGCCTAGGGGGAAAAGGGGATAGGGAGTCAGTGTTTAATGCCTACAGTTTCAGTTTGGTAAGATGCAAAAAGTTCTGGAGATGGATGGTGGTGATGTTTGCACAACAATGTGAATGTACTTAACGGCACTGAACTGGACACTTAAAAATAGCTAAAATGATATTTTGTGTGTGTGTGTGAGGAAGATCAGCCCTGAGCTAACATCCATGCCAATCCTCCTCTTTTTGCTGAGGAAGACTGGCCCTGGGCTAACATATGTGCCTATCTTCCTCCACTTTATATGGGACGCCACCACAGCATGTCTGACAAGTGGTGCATCGGTGCGCACCCGGGATCCGAACCCAGGCCGCCAGCAGCGGAGCACGCGCACTTAACCGCTATGCCACAGGGCCAGCCCCCAAAAATGATAAATTTTATGTTATGTATATTCTACCACAATTTGATTTTAAAAAAAAAGGGAGAGATTATCCAAACTAATTATTTATCTGAACTAATTATTCTCTACAGAAAAATACTGAGCCATTCAGTTTTACACCCTAAAGAAACATGGCAAAACAATCAGGTTGAGTTGAGTTCCATTCTATAGTACAAGTCTACTTTTAACTGCTAAGCCTTTAGGAGCAATTATTCTCTGCTCCTTTTGGCTTTATGTCAACCTTCCTCATTTGCTGCATTGACTACCCCAACCTGTTTTCGAAGAGGTCATCAATGATGCAACCAAGAGATGAAAGGGGACCAAATAAATGCAGACTATTTTTCACTATATGAAAGAACAAAAAAGCCCTCTGAATTCAGACAATAGGATGAAAACAATACTTTGATAGAAAAAATTACACGGATGGGTATGTAACAAAGGCAAGCAGAAAAATGAGCTGTAACCCAAATGGAGTAAACCATCGTAGCAAGCTAAGTTTAAATATTTAACTGGTGGAGTCAGATCTCAGCTCTCAACGGCCTCTCTCAGGCATTTGACTCTGCTGACCAACTGCATAAACATTTACCAGTGCCTCTTTAAGACAGGCAATTTTCATTCTCCTTGAAACTCTCTTTACCACCATTCTGTTTCCGTATCTTTCCCCTTTCTCTAAGTACGCTCTTCAAGGATCCACCCTAGGCTCTATTCCTTTTCCTCTCTACATCTCCTTTTTAAATTTCACTGTTACAGCTATAGCTGGGATGTGACTAACTCCTCAATCTCTCTCTAGACCTGAGCACTCCCCTAAGTTCTAATCCTGCACTTCTAGATATCTGTGTGAATCTCCACTTACACATCCAACTGCATTTTAAGTTCAACCCAAATTGAACTCCACCTACTCTCCTGAATTTATTTCATCTTCTATTCCTTTTTTTTTTTTTTTTGGTGAGGAAGCTTGTCCCTGAGCTAACATCTGCTGCCAATCTTCCTCTTGCTGCTTGAGGAAGATTGTCCCTGAACTAACATCTGTGCCCATCTTCCTCTATTTTGTACATGGGATGCTGCCACAGCGTGGCTTAATGAACCGTGTGTAGGTCTGTGCCCAGGATCCAAATCCGAGAACCCTGGGCCATCGAAGCGGAGCACATGAACTTAGCCACTACACCACCAGGCCAGCCCCTTCATCTTCTATTCTTGTTACTAGTACTATCTTCCCGGGTATACACACAGCCAGAAACCTCAGCCCTTTCTGAAATCCCCCTTTTCCTCGCCACACACCCAATCCGTTGCCAAATCCTATTCATTCTGTTTCAATGGCTGCTCTTCCATTCCATTGCTCCTTTTCAAAATCTCTACCCTTACTATCCTAAATCTAGACCTATTTACCCTTATCTAAACTGCAACAGGCTATTTGGATGCTCCAGATTTGTCTATGTCAGAGGGTCTCAATACAAGTAGTATCTCCTAAGGGAACATTTTAGAAATTTGTATAGGTGGTTTCAATTTCGCAACGATTGGAGGTGTGGGGCATTACCGGCATCTACTGGGCAGAGGCCAGGAATGCTAGACAAACTGCAACATTTGGGAGTGCACAAAAAGAACTGTCTTGTA